GCCGGCTCATGTCCAGCTTTTCATCCACCAGCACCCCCAAGTCCCTCTCGGCAGAGCTGCTCTCAATCCTTTCTTCCCCCAGCCTGTAGTGATACTGGGGGTTACCCCAACCCAGGTGCAGGACCTTGCACTTGGCCTTGTTGAACCTCATGAGGTTCACACAGGCCCACCTCTCCAGCCTGTCCAGGTCTCTCTGGATGACATCCCGTCCTTCTGGTGTGTCAACCGCACCACTCAGCTTGGTGTCATCCGCAAATTTGCTGAGGGTGCACTCAATCTCGCTGTCTAAGTCATTGATGAAAATGTTAAACAGCACCGGTCCCAGTACGGACCCCTGAGGGGCACCACTCGTCACCGGTGCTCGGAATGGTTTGCAGTGGAAGTAAATGCATGCCAGTGGAAATATCCAAATAAACAGACTGATGATCTTTGGTTCTTTATCTCTTTTAATATGTTGTTTGTTTACTTTCTTGGAAAAGATTCTCTAGGAACAAACTGAATGGAAATGTCTCTCAGTTGCCAGGCAGAACCTCAGATCTAAACACTTAAACTGTCCTCACAGATTCTACAGGATAAAGCAGGCTGTGCTGGTTGGTTGGGTTGTTACTTATTTATTTATTCATATTGGCAAAATCCATAAGGACTGTTGCATCTTGCTTTCTTTGTTAGAAACCACAAGGAATGTTCTTTGCTGTAAGATAACGGAATGGATGCTGTATGTTCCTTCCCTGCCAAAGAACTATTAAGACTGAAAACTTAAGAGGAGTAGTATTGATAAGGGGGTTTCTTGTCAGGTGATGACTTTATCTTGAGCAAGGATGCTGTTACAATGGTCTTCTGGGGGAGACAGAAGACAGGTTTTGTTCTAGAGAAGATGCCTTGCCCTTCTGTCAGGGCCTGGTTTTTTTATATAATATGTTACTGAAAATGTAGGGTATAAATCTCCAACTTTTAAGACGAAATCTGTCAGGTTTTGGCATAGCAGGGCATGCTGTCTTGTTATTCCTCAGCAAGGGCTATGTGTCAGAGATGTAAGAGACATTCCTTTTGTAAGCACAGCAGGGAATCGTGTATTTTTGTAACTTTCCTTTAGTATTTGTCCTATGCTACCCTTTGGAAGAGTGGAGGGGGAAAACTTTGCTTGTCTTTTATCTGAAGACAATACAGAGAACTTTAGTTTAATTCTAAAGCTTTGTTTAGGTGTTACTGTCATGTTATTGATTAGTAGTTCATATGCATGCTAACACTGTTGGTGCGGACATACTTTCTGCAGACAGGAATCTTCCCTCTCTCTTCCTCCCCTCATGCATACGTCTGCCCTTCTCCCTTGTGAGTTGTAGGATAGTGTTTGCCCAGGGGAAATGGAATACTTCGTCCCAACTGTTTTCTGGTTTCTTTGCTTCAGAAATTATTCAGCATGATCTTTGCTCAGTCACCATCAAGGGGTTATATGCTTCTTTTTTGCTGTGCTTTGTTTCCCTTTCTGTCTTTGACTTGGACTTTCCCAGTTGCGCTGCCTAACTTGTGGTGCTTCCTTCCTCTGACTCTTGTGCTGAATGTCTATGTTGATAGAAGAGGGGGGTGTGTCTAATTCTGAGACCTGGGGGAACAGAGGGGAAAAAAAAAAATCCTCAAAACCATTTTTTTTTAAGAAAGCTGCTGTGTTTGTGGCCCTGTTTGACTATGCCGGTTCTTCCTCAGGCCTAGGATAGATCTGTACAGAAGATCGTATTGACATCTGGAGACATATCCTAGGATCTGATTTTAGTGTGTCTGCTCTCATGTTCAGCCTACCAACTTTAGTCACAAGGCTAGTTTGTCCTGCTGCAGCTCGAGGTTCATGAAGCCATAAAACCTAGACTCACAGTATCACTGCAGGGCTGTGGTTCTATTATATTTAGCAGAATTGAAGAGAGAGCCCATTTATCACTGTCCTCTCCAGCCCACCTGTAATCTAGTACCTGTCTTTCCTACTATTAAGTAAAACAATTCTTAGCTCTTCTGTCATTAAAGGACCTTTTTTTTGCTAAGAACTTTGAACATACTGGGAGGACCACTCAGTTTGCTTTTCCCTAGCAGCTAGTATTGTGAAAATGGGTATTCATAAAGCTGAAAAGTAGAAACCAAATATAAACAGCTGGAAGAAGGATTAGTTGTTGTGGGCTGGAAGAATTTGAGCTATACATCCTTCAGGCTGGGGTGGTGGTTTTTTTTCTGTCACAGTGAGTTTGCTGGGTTTGATGGTTCCTTTGTAAGAGATGTGTTCAATAGTAGAAAGTTCTGTGCAACATGATTGGTAGTTAGCAAAGTGTACAAGATTGTTGGCTGTGGGATCCTGTTGGTCTCCTCATCTGAGATATCAGTAACTACTATTCTAGATTGCTTACTGGAGCTAAAGTAGCCTCTAACTTCTCTAAGGTCTGTTTAACGCTATCCTAACCACCATCTTAGCCTGACCCATGTATGGATAGTATTTCAGATTATTGTATGCGAGTGTCTTCAGGCTATTCTAGGAGTTAATAAAACTCTTGCCATTGATAAAAGCCCTTCATTTACTGTGGAACCCTTTTTGGTCTTCCACTTAGCATTCTAGTAATTTCACAGAATGGCAGGAGTTGGAATGTGCCTCAGGAGATCATCTAGTCCAACCCTCCTGTTGAAGCAGTCTTCAGTGTTGAGTCTGTCCATAAATGGTACTTCCTTGTGGCACTTATATTTGCAAGGGAGATTAAAACCTAAAACTTTTGCTCAGTGATCTTTATATTGTGTTCTTCCTGAGTTTTCCATCCTATGTCACTATGCGATTCCAAGATTTCAATTTCAGTTACAGAGGTTTTGCTTTTTTTTTTTTAACAGAAGTCTCTTTATATTTGGAAATGGAACTTGTCTTTGTTCTAGAGAAACATGAAGTCCTGTCCCATGCTCCCCAAAATGCAGCCAGGAATAGAGCCTTGGTGATCTCAAAGGCAGCGTTTGAAAAAGATAAACAATCTCTGCATAGGGATAGATATCCCCTTATTTGAATAATGCTTGCTGTCAGTACCTGTTAGAGTGCTGTGTAGATAGAACTCTGCTCTGGGATCAGACCATGCTTATTTATAGCCTCTGCCCTAGTGGCAACATTGCTGAGAAGTGTCCCTGTTGCTGACATCTAGATACCAGTTTTTTACTTTTACAGGCAATGTGCCATCACAGAAAGACAGTCTCTGTGTGTTGAGAAACCTGGATGTGCCTTACAATGAAATCATTCTGGTGTTTTTAGTGCTTGGATCCTGTTTCAGCTAAATATGAATATGTGGAAGTTACCATTGAAAACCTCCTACAATGTGACATTACCTTTGGATATTTGCAGATTAAAATATATATATTTGCTGGGAGTTAGTTACCTGTGTTTAGTAATCTATATGCATGTCATCTTCTGCACCCCTTCCCATCTACTTCTGGAGACATCCTGTAACCATCTGCTTTCATGATTTTGTGTTCAAGAGGGAATTGAGGTGGTACTAGGCACGCTGCCCCATGTTCTTTCCTTTGAGTGTTTTGCTTCTCTGAAGATCACAAATGATCTTTTTTTATGACATACACATCTAAAAAAATTTCCTGGTAAGTGAACTGTATAATATTAATTTCAGGATCTAATGTAATACCAGAAGCTGGTACAATGTACTTAACTACTTCAAGTGGCTATCCTTATATTTACCATAATGGAGTGGCTTATTTTCATACGTCTGAAGTTGCTTCTGTCCAACAGCCATGGCCAGTAAGTAATTTATTTATTTTTATGTTTGTGTGTATATATGCTTTTCTGTGGACCAGGGTGAGTGCAGTGTTTTCAAGCCCTTCTTGCTTCCAGTTTCTTCAGCTGTGCCTCATGGTTGATGTTTAAATGGCTTCCTTATATTAGTCTGTTTATTTTGTGGTTTTTAAATATTACTTAAGTTTATTGTTCTTCTGTAGGGGACTTTGTTTTGATATGACCTACTAGACAGGGTAGTTTGGAATCAGTGTGGGCTCTACCCCAGGAGGAGTTTTGTTATACTAAGGAGTTATTGGTGCTTATGACCCTTGGTTGGCTCCATTTATTATTCCTTCATGAGTGAGGTGTTCTTGGCTGCAAAATACTATGCTGTGGATGAAAAGAGAACATAATACTAGATAAACAAAGAAAAAGTGACATTGGATAATTTTATAGTCACTCACATACTCTTTTTCACAAATACTGCTTGTTTTAGGAGAAAGATAATTCAATAGATGAATTGTTTGGCTTTAGTAGGCTTGGGGAACTTAGAATTTCTTGGGAAGTACAGGAAGGAGTTGTCAATCATTTCAGTTTTTTTACAGGAGGGAAGGATTGCATAAAGCACAGGACCTACATAGAGGATGCATCCTTGCTAATTTCTGTAGAAGCAGTGTTCACAGAGGCTGTACATAATATCTCTATAGATGAGTGGAAAATCCCTTTCTCATAAAAGGGAAAAGCTCAACAGAAGAATTGCTAGCAAATAAAAAAAAAACTTTCCTAAAACAAAGATGACAGCAGAATGGTTTCTAGCTGGTTTAGCCAGTTTAGGCTCACTGCCAAATCAGATGAATGCTGGGGCTGGTGTGAGGAAGGGAATGAAAAAGGGAAGATTGGGTTGGGGCTGTGAAGAGGATAGGAATACATCAGTGACAACTTAAATTGCCTTAAGTGTTTACAAAAAAGTACCTGCAGTTGGGATAGTGGATGGCCTTAACATCTCTAGATAGTGATGGTGTAGTGCTTTCTGGAAAGAACGAAGTAAATATGCCAAAGATTTTTGGTTTTGTAGGCTCTTAGAAACAGTGCTTTTGAAGAATCTTAAGTATAAGTTAAAACTTGGTAAATCCATTTTCAAAAGGGAGGGGAGGTGGTTCAGCATTATAGTACTTCAGAACTGTTCTTAATTGCTGCATTAAGACTTGTAACTTTTTTCTTTTTAAGTCACGCTCTGTTTCCAGTTCACCTGTGATGGTAGCTCAACCGGTTTATCAGTCTCCTACATACCATTATCAGGTATCTGTTTGAAAATGGGTTTCAGACAATCAGTATTCCTTCCAGCCATGCAGTTTTATTTGCAGCACTGTCTCGGGTCTCTTTTTTTCCTAGGAAGTAAGAAGGCTGTTCAAAATAGTTATATAAAACAGATTTTAATTTCATGAAAGGCATTCTTTTCACTAGAATACAACTTATTCTGCCGATGTAACTACATGGAAATGTAATAAATTAAATTTTTTTTGGTGTTGCTAGGCAACTGGCTTAGTACCATCCTTAACTTTTATCATCTAAGCCAAACTCCTGCTCAAAGCAGGGCTGGTTAGATCAGGTTTCTCAGGAACCTGTCCAGTTGAACTTAAATATCTGCAGTGATGGAGGTTCCACAACCTTTCTGGACAGCCTCTTCCAATATTTTACCCTTATCATGGTAAAAGCCTTTTTTTCCTTATAACTGGGCAGATTTTCAGTGTTCCAGCCTGTATATACTGACTCTTGTGCTGTGAACACCTCAGATGAGGATCTGGCTCAGTCATATTTATGCCCCACCTCCCCTTAATTATTGCTGGTTACAACTACCTATCCCCTCCCATCTTGATCCTTCTCAAGGCTGAACAAACCCGGTTTTCTCAGCATCCTGGTATGTCTGTTCTCCAGTCTGCTAACCATCGTGGTGGCGCTACTGGATTTATGCTGTATGTCCATGTTTTTAATGTGTATTGGAAAGTTAACTGCATTTTGTATCTTCTGTCTCCCTAATGGGGCACACTGCTTGGATGCTTCAGTATTTTAGAAGCTTATAAAATGCCCGGGTTGGAGGCTCGGTGGAAGTAGACAAAATGTTCCTGAATTATTTGGGGCCTTATGAAAATGATGTTTCTTCTTTTTAATTAAGAATTTATTATAGATTTGAGATAGTTTTGATTCTAGTATGTTGGGAATTCTAGTATGTGGATACACATGTTCTTAATCATGTAAATATCTTTTGTTTTAATTTAGGCACCAGCACAGTGTCTTCCAAGTCAGTGGCAGTGGTCTGTTCCACAGGTAAATACGGTTAGTTCATAGTTGTAGCATTTTACAATTAGTTTGCATGTAGTCTAAAGGTACAGTGCATTTATCTAACTGTGAAACTTCCCCCTATTCACAATACAGTTTAAATAAATATTAATTGCTGTATTTTAGCAATGCGTTTGCAACGGTTGCTGATACAATGGAAGGCATAAAGCATCTCCCCTTCCACTCTCCCTCTGGCAAAAAAAGTTTGTATTAAATTCCTGAAGTTCTCAGAGGCAGGTAAAAACTGACATATTTTGTCTGATAGGAGAAACTAGCATTAACTAGCTCATTCACTGATACTAACTGTGATGTTTCACTGGAGTATTGCTAGTGGAGGCACATAGAAGTATGCTGAAATTAGACACAGACCCTTGAAATAGGAGGAAGAATTTGAAATTGCTAACTTGCTAATTTTGGGGGGAGACTTCCTTGAGTTTGTGGTCTATGTAGCAGAGGAGCTTAATATGGAAATCTTGCCACTCAAGGAACTTGAAGAGTTTTAAGCTAAAAGGAGAACCCAAGTCCCTTTAACCTTGCACTGTTACGATGTGTCTCATTACGTTAGTAGCAGCCAGCCTTGTCCAGTGATGGTCAGTGCTACTCTAGAAATAGATGTCAGTTTGCTGCTTTGAAATCCAGGTGCTGAATTACAGAAATACTGTGGGGGGGTTTATTTTAAAACTAAAACACTTGGGTTTTAATGTAAGATTTTTGCAAGAGAAAATTAAACTGTATATGTTTCGGTGATCTTGACAGCGTCAATTTTATAAAGTTTAGGATTTCTTCAACAATGCTTTCCAAAATTTAAATAAAATCTGGAAAATGTATAAAAGTGATTAAAAGACATCTTTATTTTACTCTACTACCTGACCTTTCTACCTACTTCCCCCTCACTTAGTTTCTTTAAGTTATCAAAGATCAATTTGACACTTTCTTTTAAAGCTTTATCTTCATTTATATGTAGCAAAGACAACTGTAAAATAAGCTTTGGTATTTATAGTGCATAAATCAAATTTAGTAAAAATAATTGTTTTATTTCAGTCTCCTGCCTCTTCACCATCATTCTTGTATCTGCAACCATCTGAAGTCATTTATCAGCCAGTAGGGGTTACCCAGGAAAGTGGATGTGTACCACCTCCTCTTGTAGTGGAAGCTGCAGTTCCTGAGGTATTTTTATAAAAAAAAATTGTTTATAATTCAAGCATTTATCTGCAATTGAAAAATATAATCTTTTAGTTTAAGCACAGGCAGTTAGAGCACTTAAGTCAACTGTTCCCTGTACTTATCCCCACACCCATGCTGCTGCTGTTAAATCATTTCAGTTGTCCTCAACTTAGAGTGTCGCTTCCAGTTTTGTAGGAGGATGCTTTGATTCTGAAATACTTTGGAGGGTCACAAGTGTATGATAGACAGCAGTATAAAGACTAGCCAATTTTTTTTAATAACATTTAAATAAAATAAGGGCCAGACTCTTCAGAATGCTGGATTAGTCTACCCAAGCCATAACAATGTCCTGAAGCAATTCTTATGTGTGAGTAGTAGCTCATTTCAAAGTATTCTGAAGATCAGAATGAATGAAGAGTAGTTGAATGACTAACCTTTTTCTTCATTAAGATTTTTTTTGCTTCTATATCAATAGCATTTCTGACGGTTTTTTAAGAGATTCTTAATGTACAATAAAGCCATTTTTTGTAATTGGATATTAAAAATGACTAAATGGCTACAGAAAAACCTACTATAGAATTGAAAAAGTATTATGATTAATTGGTACTTTTCCTCTTTGATAATTCATTTCTAATTAACAGGGGTGCAAAAATAAATGATCAATTAGGACAGTAGTCAAGTGTTTTTACAAAAGTGGAAGAGTATTTTATTGCTACAAGAGAAGTTTCAAAACTGGTATTTCAAACATCTTAGGTATGTCAGGATTTCTAATACAAGCCTTTGGTTGTTGGGGGTTTTCTTCCTTTTTTTAAAGTGTGTAAACATCAGTATTTATTGTATAATAATAAATCTTATTGTCAATATTGTTTTTAGCTTTTGCATTTCATTAATCGGGTATCAAATGATACAGAGAAATTTGAAATCTGTGAGCTCTAAGAAAAAACATGAGATTAGTTAAGGAATATTTGCATATAATATGCTCTCAGTTCACAGGCACATAATTTGTTGATGTTAAAGGAAGCAGTATGTGGAAATTCAGAAGATGGTGTAAAATTCAAAGAAAAGCCTGTATATTGTTTGTATGTAAATACCTTGGAAGGCCGACAATGCTGGGAATTGCATTTCAGCATGCTTATCTACACATTTATACACTGGTCCAATTAGAGCTGATTGAAATGGATTTGTAGTAGAGAAGAGTGCTACTTCTGTCAAGGAGAGTGCTTTTGGGCACTGAACTAGATAAACTAAATTTTCTAAACTTTGGTACAGTGGGGAAAACATAGATTTAAATATTGAAATTTTGGGTTTTAAGAAGTCATTAGTTTAGATAAACATAACCCACAACTTGAAGTTAAGGAATCTGAATTCATGTGAAAGGCTTGCAAAAACATCAAATTGTGAAACATCTTTTGGTTTTACGGTGTTGTTTTTTCTTTTTTTTTTACACCAGCTGTATTCTGATCATGGAGTTCAAGCACCACATCACCAGCCTTATGCCCAGAGTTCCATAGCCATGCCTGCACCTGTGAGTATCAAAGCAAGATAGTTAAAGTAAGTGCTATAGTGTTACTGTCCCCTTTCAAGAAGGGCGACAGTAAGAGAAGAGGGGCAGGGATGAAAAAGTCTTCTATTAGTGAATTAATAAATAAGGAAAACAGAAACACTGCAGAGAAACTGATGTTTTTCTTTACTTGAGGATTTTTTACAGAGGACATAAGTATACTTATTTTGGAACTATTTGGGGAAAGTAAAAAGAAAAAAACAAACGTGACTCGTTATTTTAAAACTTGGGATACAAAGAAAACTGCAAATGAAAAATGTATTTTGAGAGAAAACAGTGAACCTTGTTCAGCTCTTTGAAATGATGGTTACAAATGCTTGTGTCTCTGTCTCTGGATCCTGAAAAGTTGAATTCATTACCTGCAGCCTTAGATAAGCACCTCATGTTGTGGCAAGGTGGGGGTTTTGGAACATGGAGCATGAAAGACTGTCCCAGTTGGGTACCTGTAGGTGTTTTTCTATGCAGTTCTGGTTCTTGAACGGCCACTCAAAAATGTGATTCTTCCATGTCACCTGATGAAAGTTGTTGGGGGTTTTTGGGTCCCAGTTTAAGGTCCTTTTTGCCTAAATTAGTAAGGTTGTTAACACAACATATGAAATAATGTCTAAATTAGATTTAGCCTAGATTTGCCTGGTAAAAAAGGACCAAACGTATCAGTAGTTTTACGTGATATTACAGCACTTACTCTTCTGTGAAAGATGCTTACTCAACTACAAATGACAGCCTAAATATGAATGAATCTAAGCCATGTTACAGACTTAGATATATCTTTCATTTATTTCACCTTTCTTTAAAGAGAAGAATCTTTTTTCCAGATTATTGTGTAACAATATCTACTAAATATTTCCAGTAGAGGGGGCTGTAACATTAAGTGTTGTCTTGGAATAAAAAGCAAGTACTCAATACAAAAAAAATAGAAGCTGAATATGAATTTGCAAATATTAATCTGGAGTGATTCATATTTTTAAGAAATACTTAAAAGGTATCTCAGAATCAAAAACAAGTGCATACTTACTGTATCAAATAGAGAAACAAGCTTTTTCACCTTGAAACTTGACTTCTACTGTCTTTCCTAGGGCCACAGCTATACCAACAAGGTAGTGTGAAGTTACAAGGTAGATTTAGAGCACAATAGTTCTTCCTTTTCTACAGTAATTACCACATTACCCTGCTTTACCTTATAGCAAAGGCAAAGTAGTTTACTCTGATAAGTGACAGTGTGTTGTTAACTTACAGTAGAGTAAGTGCATGCATGGTAAAACCATGTTTGGTTACTGTGGTATAGGAAATGAACTGCAAATTCAGACTGTTATTTATCTCCTAGCAGAATATTTTCTGTTTATTCATAGCTTTAGAAGTGATTCCACGCAGGCCAAAGCTGGCATAACCCAGCAATTCATTCCATTTTCCCACACCACTCCATTTTCCTGTGGTGGTAGAGGTTTTTGTGAGGCAATATGGTAAACCAGGTCAAGGAACTGATGTAGTTAAAGATGAACCCCCACTGCCTCCACCCAAAAAGAGCAAACTTAAACTTGGATCAGTTCCTCAGACCAGTTTGTCAAGCAACTGCACAAATTCTTGTACCTATACAAGACGTTTGCGATAGGAGAATCGCAAGGTTTGGAAGGGACCTCAGGAGATCATCCAGTCCAACCCTCCTGCTAAAGCAGGTTCAGCTAGAGCATGTTACACAGGACTTCGTCCAGGCGGGCTTTGAATATCTCCAGAGAAGGAGACTCCACAACCCCCCTGGGCAGCCTGTTCCAGTGCTGAGCAACCCTCAAAGGGAAGAAGCTTTTCCTCATGTTCAGCTGAGACCTCTTATGTTTCAGTTTGTACCCATTGCCCCTTGACCTGTTGCTGGACACCACTGCAAAGAGTCTGGCTCCGTCCTCGTGACATCCACCCTTAAGATATTTGTATGTGTTGATGAGGTCCCCTCTCAGTCTTCTCTTCTTCAGGCTGAACAAGCCCAACTCTCTCAGCCTTTCCTCGTAGTGGAGATGCTCCAGTCCCTTTATCATCCTAGTTGCTCTCCTCTGGACTCTTTCTAGGAGTTCCTC